ATGCACATTTACCATTTAGTTTTGCACGAGCTGCATCACAGCCACTTTGGAGGTTTTCGGATGAAAGCGTCAGCTCGGTCATACGTGTGGTGGCCAAAACTCGACGAAGACATTGAAATGATAACCCGAAAATGCAAATCTTGCCTCAAATTGCGAAAAAACCCGCCTAAAGTCCCGCTCACACCGTGGCCATGGCCCTTAACACCATGGCACAGAATTCATGCCGATTTTTTGGGGCCGCTATTTGGGAAGATGGTACTGGTTGTGATAGACAGTCATTCAAAGTGGCCCAAAATTTTTGTAGTGCCTAACATGCGCGAAGAAACCATAATTGCAATATTTGAGCGGATGTTTTCGCAGTTCGGGTTCCCGGCGCATGTGGTTACGGATAATTTTTCATCATTCAGGGGAGATAAATTCCAAACGATGATTAAAAAAGGTAACATAAGACATAGTACGTCGCCCCCACACTGCCCGGCCACCAACGGAGCGGCCGAAAACCTAGTAGACACAATCAAGCGTAAAGTCAAAGCATGGTGGGGGATAGCATGCCTCTACAAAGCGCAATCCAACAATTCCTATTCAACTATAGAACGTCGCTTCACCCCACCACACAAAGAACGCCAGCAAGTCTAATGCTCGGGAGAGAGATAAAAAACAGATTTTCCGTACTGCGGCCGCCGCCGGCAATATCGCGTGTAGAGTTACAACAAGAGCGAGAAGTAAGAAATCAACATGGATCGCGAAAAGTCATGTTTAAAATCGGAGATTCAGTAATGGCAAAAGATTATAGAGGGGGAGGTGAGAATTGGGCGGTAGCGAAGATAGCAAGAGAAGTGGTTGCGGGTATCACGTACGAGGTAAATACAGCAGATGGATTGCGCTGGAAAAGGCATGCCAACCAGCTCATTGCGTGCGAAGCAGAAGCGAGAGCGCTTGGAGGTAAGGGAGAAGGGGGGCCAGCCGAGCCGAGTGTCGGCGCGCATCCAGGTACGACAACAATCTACGGACTAGGGTCGAAAAGAAAAACCTCTACATTAACCGCGTAAATGTTAAGATGCTACGAGAGATTGTATGAGCTATGGTGCGAAATGAAATATAGAGGGGGAGGGTGCGGTAACCGCGCCGCGTCGCTCTCCGCTAGCCGATTGTACTAGAGATAGGTGGTAGCCGCGTAGACTAAATGTGAGTCAGTCGTCGTTCGACCATCGAGACCGTCGGGCGCCCCTCCTCCCTGCCGCGAGCTTGCGGCCCTCGAATAAATATCTACCTTCGGCATCCCCGTGTGGTTATTTGCTTCCTACGTCGGTTACTGCATAATCTTACTTTTTTCATGTCTATAATATTATGTTTTTCATGCCTTCGTCCTAAGGCTGATATTACATTTGCCGTACGATTATTATATCAGCCTTTTTTTTGTAACCCGGGGGAATCCTCATGGACCGTCCCCTCGCCCCGCTGGGACGGGGCGAGGGGGTGTGTGGGACTCGCCCTCCCCAAACCCTGGTCAATTTGCTACCCAGGGCCGGTGTACAATGGAGGGCGCCTACCTCACTAAACCCACCGGGGGTGGTCTTCCCAGCGCCATGTTGAACCGACCGGGTACTGTGACACATTACATCCGGTCGGTTCGGCGCCGCGCGCCGTTTACATGGCGCGCCCCTCTTGGCTCCTAATTGGAGCCTCACCTTTAGTTGGGCGTTCTTCTGGCGCTTGGTCGCGCCGCGACGGGGGTGCCACCGGGCCCCCGCCGCGCCCCCTGGTTGTTGGTGGGGGCTGGTGAGCCTGGGGTCCTCGGCCCCCGACTCCCCCCTGGGCTCCCTCTGCCGTCCCAGATTCTCCTTTTAGTCGCCTCTTACGACAGGCAGGAGATACCCCGGGCCTATTCTATGGCGGGCCCCAGACGCCTGGCAGAGGGAACACCCCTCTTCTCCGACCTTACCGGTCGGCTGTCCGCTCAGCAGGGACTCCTTCCCATGTTGCAGTCCACCCGGGGAAGGGGGGGAGGTCCTTACGGCCGGGGCCAGTCGTCCCACGAATCCCACCCCCCTTCCCTTGGACTACCATTCTCTTAGGTGTGCCGGTACGCGTCTCCTCCTCTGAGGTGGCGCACCGGCCCTTCCTTGCCCATCCTGGGGGGGGGGGGTCCGCCTCCCCCCTCCTGATGCGCTCCGCTTTTTCCTTGAGGAGCATTACCCCCTCGCAGAAACTGGAGAACGCACTCCATGCGCTCTCCTCTCGCACAATCTTCCCTACAACCGCTTCGAGCGAGAAGTCCTCTCCTATGGTCTCTCTCAACGCGTGTCTTTGCACAGCCCACGCCGGGCATGCCTCCAGCGTGTGCTGCGCCGTATCCTCCTCATCTCCGCAGTGATGGCAGCTTGGTGCTGCCTCCTTTCCTATGCGCCGCAGGTACTGACCGCAACAGCCATGTCCGGTGAGCACCTGCGACGTCCTGTAGGACGCTCTGGCCCACGTCCTGTCGAGCCACCCCTCCATGTGTGGAAGGATGGCCTGCACTGTTCGCCGGCCCCAGCCGGGCTTGGCTAACGTCTCCTTCCATCTGTCGGGCGCCCGTTTTCTCGCCTGAGCGTTGATCGCTCTCCTTACCTTCCCGGCTACCGGGACTTCCTGGGCTTTCAACCCAGCGATTCTCTCGTAGGCCCAAGTATACGCCTCCGCCAATATGTCCACCGGGGGCATGCCAGCCAGGAGTGTGGCCGCCGCGTGCGACACGGTTCTATACGCACGCGTGACCCTGACCGCCATACGTTTCTGCGTTTTCCGCAGCGTCGCCAGCGCCTTCCTGTCAGCACTCACTGCCGTCGCCCAGATCGGCGCTCCGTACAGTGCTATGGAGTGTAGCACATTTCCGTACAGGCGCCTTACTCTCCCGCTGGGGCCCCCCAGGTTGGGCATCAGACGCGACAAGGCATTCGCCGTCGCGTCCAACCTGGGGGCCAGCTTCAGGATGTGATCCCCGAAGCGCCACCTCTCGTCCAGGAGTAGGCCCAGATACTTGATGTGGGATCCTACCCTGATGCGCATGTCCCCCACAACGATGTGGGTTTCCGGGGGCGGCCCATGGTTCCCTCCATGCATGAATACCGCCTCCGTTTTCCCAGCCGCCACTTTGAGGCCCAGTCCACTGATGGCCCGGACCGTGCATGCCACCAAGATGTTGGCGATGACGGTGGGCCTCCTCCCAGCTCCTCCCCTCGGCGAGCACCAGTGTGTCATCAGCGTAACACACTAACACCGCCCCCGAGGGGAGGGCCGTCTCCAACACCTTGTTGTACGCAACGTCCCACAGGACCGGTCCTAGGACCGAGCCCTGCGGGACGCCACTTTCCGCGTTCCAGGACCTGGTCGCGTTCTCTCGGTCCTTGCAGGATATTGTCCTCCCCGAGAGGTACTTATTAATGACCCCTCTCAGGTACGTCGGCACCCCTAGGTCACCAGTGCCCTCCTGGGGATGGTTGCATGGGGGAGGGAGTTAAAAGCATTCGCGATATCCAGTGCTACCGCGAGCACCACTTCCCCCCCCCCCCGCCGTCACCCTCTCAACGTGGGCCTTCACGAATCTGATGGCGTCTACCGTCGAACGGTTCTCACGAAAGCCATATTGCCTTTCGTGCAGGCCTTCACTCTCACCGCCCTCTACAGGGTGATTCAGAACAACCACTTGTCCTTAAAATGTCGTATTCTAAACTTAATTCTGAAATGATTTTTCCTCTTGCAAAATTTTCTCCGAAGCTTAATTTTTGAATTATAAAGAGGAAAAGATATCGAATGACGGGCCAGATACTACAGGCAGGCAGGAGCGGCGCGGCTCACCGTCGTCGCGGGCGCTTACGGCAAGAGCGCCCGCGACGACGCTGCCATCAGCTGATCGCGACGCGCTAGTACACACACACA